TATTGAATCGCACGCAGAAGAATTTTAACAAATTGTCTTCATTCAAATATTGCGAGTAACAGGTAATTTTTTTTTCTGTGCCGACCCCCTCCCCCCGCCTAACATAAACTATATACTAATAAACTAATAAGAAAAGCTATATACTATTAAACTAACTATAAGCTATAAACTATTAAACTAATAAGAAAAGCAAAGACATTTTTTTTAACATCTCGAAAAAATGTCTTGATATTTTTGTTATCATGATAACAAAAATATTAAGACATTTTTTGAGATTTTATTAAAAAAAATGTAAATTCTTAATTACAAATTTTTTTGCAAATGTTTTTTATTATAAATTCAGTAAAAAATTCATAAAAAATCTATATTACAAAAAACTTTTATATTCTGTATTAATAAATATGGAATATAGATTTTTTAAAAGTTTTTTACTAAAAACTTTACTACTTTTTATTAAAAACATTGCAAAAAATTTGTAGTTAAGGATTGACAAACAATTTTTCATGTTGCTAAATATTTGGATAAAAAGTTTAGCGTCAAATTAGTTGCTATAAAAAGGAAAGATATATCGCGATGAAAAGTTACAACAATTAATTTTAAAGTAAATTCTTTTTTTTAATAAATACCTTTACATATCGTTATTTAAAAGTTAATGTGGTTTTTTTGAAAAATAATTACTTCTTTTATGTTACCGCTAATTTAAAAGTTAAAAAATGATAAAAAGTAGCTTAACCAAAACAGCTCTACGCGTACGTAAAAAGCGCTTTAGGCATACGCAAATCGCTCTAGGCGTAACGCTTTAAAACCTGATATAGTATTAATTTGATATATATATATATATATATATATATATATATATATATATATATATATATATATATATATATATATATATATATATATATATATATATATATATATATACACACACACACACACACACATTTGTATACACACACACACACACATTTGTATACACACACACACACACACACACACACACACACGCACACAGAGAAAGTATGATTAACATTATTGAATTGTTTTTAGGGTATATTTTTCCTTCATTCCAATAGAGTAATACATCGAGATATAAAGGGACCAAATATTTTAATGACACGTAATGGAGAAGTAAAGTTAATTGATTGTGGTAAGTATTCTCTTAACTGTGTAATTTAGAAGTTTGAGCTTGTAAGGTTTACTGTCAGTAAAGAACCCAGATGTGTTTTAGTATCGTTTTACCGGTATGGGCGCCCAAAAATTATTTTGATTTTTAATTTTTCTTTTGGTTTTTTATGAAAAATAGAAAAAAAAATTTAGTTTTAAATGCAGTAGTATATAAATAATTCTCAGTTTAATTTAGCTACCTCATTTTTTCTTTCGGAAAATAAAAAGAACTAAAAAGAAATTGCTTTTTTACATAACTACGTCATGTAATTTGCCTTCCGTTATTAACTGGACATAACTTTTAAATAAATGAAAGTCGTTACGAAACTTAATTTTAAAACTTTGTTGCAAAATTTTATAATAATGGAATATATAAAAGATTTGCTTTTTTAAAAGTTAAAGCGCTTTTAAATATCCATTCAGCTAAGGTTAATTTTTGTTTTTGACAATTAAGAATAAACTGCTTTTGATAATAAATGAACAAAAGTAAAAAAATATCTGTCCTTGTAACTATCGCGCAAATTTAATTTTTAAATGAGTGAACTTTTGATCTTTAGCTTGCTATTTTAGTTTACATGAGGAAAACGAAAAAACGAAGTATAAACTTTTTCAGACAGTTTTTTTTCCTTTCAATATTCTTTTTAAAATAATTTAAAAAAAGGTTTCAATAACTTAATAAAAGTTTAATTTAGATCTGTTTAAAATAACCCATAGTAAATGTAATTTATTTATTCAAATGTAATTTTTTAAATTATTCTTAATAATTAAAAAAATATATTTTTTAAAATATATGTTTTTTAAAAGTATAATATGGTTTTTAATCAAAATAATAAATATTTTTTAAATTGCGTTTACTGTAATTATCTCTTTAATTATCTTATTAGGCACCTTAAAATCACTTTAAAAATTATAACCTTTAAAAAGTTAAAACAGATTTACTAATATATAAATCAAAATTTTAAATTTAAAATAATGGAAAATAATTTTATTAAATGCTAATGTTTTTATTCGAATAGTTTATTTAATACGTTTATTAAATGTTAATCGAATTTGTTTATTAAATGCTAATGTTTTTAATTCAAATACAAGACGTAAAACTATTTTGTTAATTTTTCAAATGTTATGCGATATAATATATGTAAATATATTATGTAAATAATGTAAATGTAATGTAAATATTGATTAAAAGTTGTTTAAAATATTTTTAATTATTATTTTAAATTAAATTTACTAAAATATACATAGTTAATAACTGTTTAAAATACTTTAAACAATTTTCAATAGTTATTTATTGATAGTGTGGTATATGCAACAAAAGTGTTTACTAAAATCTTAAGTAAAATAGTTTTCTTTTAGCTAAAGTCCACCATCGTCCACCTGTAAATTCATGTATTCAAAAAATGCCATTAAATCAACACTTTATTATAGATTAAAACTGAAAAAGTTAAACATAAATAATTATTAAAAAAATGATGATTACAAATTATTGTTGCGGCACCCGTTTAAATAGGGTAGAATAGGGGGGGGGGGGGGGCGAATCAAAAACATAATCCCCCCCCCCCCTCTTCCCTCAACGTTGCTGAAAAAAAAAACGGTAGCCCCAAATAAACTCTGGGTTCTTCACTGACTGTGATGCTGTCATAAAAGCAGAGCAAACTTATCTAAATCTGAAAGATTTAGATAAGTAAAAGCAAAGTCATATACAAACAATTATATTCAAAATCATACGTAAATAAAAGACAATAAGCATACGTAATTATATTCAAAATCATACGTAAATAAAAGACATAAGCATACGTAAATAAAAGACAAGCATTTCTTCGTGATATTAATGGTCTGAAAAGTACATGCATTAATTTTAAAATTAGCTTTGCTGACCTGACACACAAATAATTGAAAGTAATATTTTACTGACCAGATTATTTTTCTATTAATTATTAATATAATTTAACCAATACAATGAAAAATGTATGTCAAGCAAAATAACAACTTCAAAAAAAGTTTTTATTACTAAAAAGATTTGTAACAAAATATTACAAAATATATTTAGAACCAGAGGTCTTTCAATGTTTCATCATTAGTGTTAGTTTAAGTGCTGTTATGCAAAAAAAAAAAAAAAAAAAATTATTAATTTGTGTTACAAAAGTATAATTTTTAATCAATTAAGGTATTGTTGCTATTAGTTATCATTGTCTAATGTTTTTTAAAACAGGAAGTGTTAGTTGAAAGTATCATTCTTTTGTCAATGCAAATGACTTTCATACGACAATAAATTTTTATCACTTTTAAGTTCTAGAAAAACAAAAGGCTAGAAAAACGGTTCCATCATTTTATTATTTTTACTTTTGCAACCATACACATGGTTGTCAAATCTGTCAGTTGAATGGCTGGTTCTGCAACTTAATATATTTATACCATTTATGCGATTTCTCAAATTATTTGTTTTTCCAATATATGTTGATTGACCATTACCCGATAAATATTTTAAATAATAAATTGCATTCTTGCTGTTACAAGTAATGTGACTTTTAATATTCCAGATAGTACCCTTGGATGTTTCGAATTTTTTTTTTAAATAGACATATATATATATATATATATATATATATATATATATATATATATATATATATATATATATATATATATATATATATATATATATATATATATATATATATATATATATATATATATATATATATATATATATATATATACAATCCTCGGAATTAGGGTCGGCATTCGGCAATATCAAACTAACTGCCAACCTGATGCCGACCTCTAAAAGATTGAGGTCGGCAAATTATTGCCTACCTCATTTTTCCTAATTCCAAGGGTTGTATATATATCTATATATACAACCCTCGAGGGTTGTGTATATATATATATATATATATATATATTTATATTTATATTTATATTTATATATATAATAGTTACTGTATTTATATTATATAATATTATAAAGGTAATAGTTATTCAAATATGAAACATAAGTGTTTAGTAAGTGTATTGACTACTATTTTATTTTTAATTTCAATTTAAATATTCACAATTCTGTTCAATTTAACTTTCACTGAAGGTTAACAATTTCACAGTGCCTCAAAGTGCCTTTTAAATAAAAGAAACAATTACGGTAAACTTATTGATTAAAAAAATCAAAAAATTTTCTTACAATAGTTAAACTAGATTTACTAACGATTTAAAATGTGATTTAAAAGTAAAGTTAAAGTAAAATGATTTTTTTATTTTTATTAAAGATATTGAAGTTTAAAGTTAACTAAAACTGAATAAAACATGTAATCAAAAAACTTAATAAAACTAGAAGTTATTGTAATCATTGTTTTTATTATTAAAGTCGAAAAAAATATAAAGAGAAACAAAACTTTCTGAAAAAGTTTTTATTAGTTTTTTTGCTTTCCTAAAGTAAAATAAAATAGACTTCTGCAATTGTAGAAGTCTTCATTTAAACTAAATTCTTCCTTTAAAGTTTTTTTATTCATGGTGTTTTGCTTATTTTGCTTTTTTATTTTTATCATATACTTTTCATATTTTCATCATATACTTGTCATATTTTCATCATACACTTGTCATATTTTTATCATATACTTGTCATATTTTCATCATATATTTGTCATTATATTTTTGTGTTTCACAGTTATAGGCCTTCTTGACCTTCTCGGCCTTGGGTAGGTGAATTACAAAAAAAAAAAATTTTTATCATACACGTCATATTTCCACTTGAAATTGATAACATTTTTGGCTGATATAAATGAGTTAGGGAGTTTGTTCTAAGCAAATTTTTTTTCAATTGTTAATGTGTCCACCAATACCACATGCATTCATTGACTTGATTGAGATTATTCAATTTTACTGAATCTTTAATTCTATTAACTTTATTAAAATACATTATAGCATCTATTCTGGTCGTCTGTCTTCCAATCTTGTGACTTTAAAATTTTTTCTCTTGGTGTTGTAATCATATTTGTGAATATGCGAAATCAATTTTGTAGTTTTCTGTTGTACTTTTTTTTTTTTTTTGTAAATGTAATTTGCATAGCATTCAAATATGCAAATTACATTTATTAAGTTTATAAATATAAGCATTTTAAATTTAAGAAATGAAGTTTGAATAGCAAATTACATTTATTAAGTTTATAAATTATAAACAGTAAGTTAATGCTGCAAATAGAAGCATTTACTTGCTATTTCCATTTTATTGTTCAAGATTTTATTGTTTCACACATGATGATAAAGGGATTAGGTTCTTAAAGGGACTACAAAGTCCCAAGAAATGTTGTGTTCATATTAAAAAGAATGTTTAAAAAAAACGTCTGAGCAATTTTTAATATAAAATAATTTTTAACCTAAATAATAATGCACTTTTATTAATTTACTTTGTAAATATTAAAAAAAAGAATATTAGCATTTTTTCTCTGATTTTCAAAAATGTATTTTTTGGTATTGAGGTGATCTTATTTCATTATTTATATTTCCATTATAACATCCAATATATATTATGGCGAGGCTTAAAAATTAATATATATTAATTTTTATTTTACAGACATACATGGAAACATAATTAACTTGAATGTTCTTAAAACATCGAAGTATAAAAAGAATATTCGCGAACACTAAAAACCCACCAAATTTGCGAACAAACTAATTCTATTGGTTCAAAAAACACGCTGACTAAGTGAAATAAAGTTCTAGAGTATTCTGTTGAAATGTTTTAGGAATCTAGCATAAATTTTTTTAAGAATATATTATCAAATGTACTATTACTTTAATATTATGGCTCATTCTCGGAGCCACATCTGTAAAGCCATAAAAATTTATTTTTGTAAACTATTATCATTTGTTTACAAAAATAAATGTTTTATAATATATATTTTTTAAATTGTCAAAATTTTGAAAATTAATTACAAATTATATATTTTATTAGTATATTCTTAATGTTTATATCTTTTCTTAGGTCTTGGTTTAATTGATTGTTCGTTAGACTTGTAAAAAACTAACGAAAAATTAGTAAAATAAACTTTTATTAAAATAAGTAACTATAGTTAGCTATTTGAGTAAAATTTAATAGTCAAATTTTTAAAGAATTTCTAGAATGTTTCTAATGACGTCATGCTCTAAAACTCCTATGAATTAAATGCGCTTGAATAAATTATTAAGTCTGTATAATGCGCCTGGAAAATCACGCTTGTTTTACATACTTAAAATACCAGAGAAAACGGAGAAGACAAGCTTCGACTAAAACAACAAGATTTGTTTTTTTTGGTATACATTTATTAATTAGTTTTAATCAAAAAAAATTTGCTCAGACGTTTTTTTTTAACATTCTTTTTAATATGAACACAACATGTCTCGGGACTTGGTAGTCCCTTTAACAACTATACCCATTTTATTTTAAAAATAATTATTTTTTAAAATCATTATTTTTAAAATCATTATTTTTAAAATCATTATTAATTTCAAAATTAATTTTAAAAATCATTAGTTTAAATTTTTTTTTCTTAATTCATTACTTAACATTTTTTGAAGTTTAAATATATATTAACCATTACTTCGACCATTCATCTATCTTTATATATCTTTTAGTGTATTTTTTTAGTGTATTTTGTGTCATTTTGTAAACTATGACAGTCTTCTAAGGATTTTATTGAATTTGCAATATATATATATATATATATATATATATATATATATATATATATATATATATATATATATATATATATATATACATATATATACATATATATATATATATATATACATATATATACATATATATATATATATATATATATATATATATATATATATATATATATATATATATATATATATATATATATATATATATATATATATATATATATCTGTGCATGTGTGTGTGTGTGTATATGCTGAAGAGCTACTCAATAAAAAAACAGAGTTAATTTCCAAGTGTCGTCACGAAAATAAATTTCTATTGAGCAACCACAAACCTGAAGATTAAATACACGCGGTTGAACAATAAAAAAAAGTTTATATATATATATATATATATATATATATGTATATGTATATGTATATATATGTGTATATATATATATACATATATATATATACATATATATATACATATATATATATATATATATATATATATATATATATATATATATATATATATATATATATATATATATATATATCTGTGTGTGTGTGTGTCTGTAGAATGTTTATTTGATAATTTTCAGGAGTATCTGCAGTTCTTGCAAATACACTCAGCAGGCGTCACTCATCAGTTGGATCTCCTTTTTGGATGGCACCTGAAGTAATAGCATGTGAGCAACAGCTTGATTATCAGTATGATAATCGCTGTGATATATGGAGCTTAGGAATTACAGCTATTGAGCTTGCTGATGGTGAACCTCCTATGGCTGAACTTCATCCAATGAATGCTCTTTTTAAAATTCCAAGGTATATTTTATTAAATAAACATTTAAAAAATACAATACATAAAAAATATTTTTTCTTTGTTTTTTTTTTTTTTAATAAATGTTTTATATTAAATATTTTTAATTTATATTTTTTTAAATACAAATTTTGTTTACTTCAGAAAAACAAATAAAAAAAGTTTTTTTAAAGAAGATTCTTTTATTCAAAATTTAAAATTTATAATTATAACATTTTTAGAATTTATTCTCAACTTTATGTAATTTATGATACATCTTGAATGATCTTTTAAAAGCATGTGCTTGTGAGCATTAAAAAAGATGACTTTTTTTCAAAATTTTGTCAAAATTTACTTAGATGTTTTTTCTATATTTTTAGCAGGGCGCGACAAATCGTTTTTTTTTTCATGGACGTTGACGTTCGTATCTTAAATTATTGACGAATGTCTAATTTAAGTGATACGTGTCAAATAATATATAAGAATATAAGTTTTATATTCAAATAAATTTTTATTCTAGTTATTAAGCTTTTGGATATATGAAAGATGGTTATTGAATTTAATCAATTGTCATATTTTCGAAACGAAAAATAAATAAAAAACGATCAATAGTTAATTGTTTGGAAAAAATTGCTATAGTAACGTGTTCATTTTGAAAAATTTTAGGCGAACGTCAACGTTTGGATTAGGAAAAGTAAAGGAACGTGACGTTCATATTTCTGTCTTTTTGTGCAGACGTTCGCACGTTTGTTGATTTTTTGCGCCCTGTACAGTACTGTGCAAATTATTTGCATCAAACGTTTTTTTTTTTTAATTTTTTTATTCTACATTTTCTCAAATTTAACTGTGATTAAAAGGATAAGTAAATTTTGATAAAGTAAACAAAGACGGACACTGCACTTAGAAAAAGATCTAAAATATTAACTTTACTTCAGTATTCTGATAAATCTCAACATGAAAGAGCCACAATATGTTCAGTAAACCAATCTGCAGTTAGCAGAGTCAAGAAGCATTACTTTGCAACAGGCAGTTCATTACCATAAAGACAAGGAAAATGTGGTCAAAAACAAAAGATCTCAGTGAGAGATAACCAATATCTGATGCTGGAAAGTATAAAAAATCTAAAGAAGACAAGTGACCAAATAATGGTTTTGCTACGCATGGCATCCATGTCTGCTCAAGTACTGTGCGAAGGTGGTTGATAGCTGTTAAAAGTTTGCCAGAAAACCTTCGAAAAAACTAAAAATTATACATTTACGAGAGCTGTAAACTGCTCCCTGAGAGCTGAGAGCTTTAGCTCTCAGCTCTCAATTTTTTCTTACAAAAGTGTAATTATCATTGTAATTGAAATATTACAAAGTCATTTTTATAAAAATTAGTTGCAATAAAATTCAAATCCTTTTTAAAAAGCATGGCTGTTGCAAGAAAAAAAAGTATTAAAAAAGTACACCAATATATATGCAAATGTTTTTGATTAAATTGGACTAAAAAATAAATATAAAATTACTCTAAATTATATTAATAAAATATAAAATTATTTTACTGATAAAAAATAAAAATTATTGCACTCTAAATTATTGCATAATAATTATTATTTTATGTAATTAATTATATATTTTATATATTAATTACTTTAATATATTATTCAATTTTATTGTGGAATTTTTAATTGTTTTTAATTCTTAAAATATCTGCATTCTATTACAATCAGAAAATAAAAAACATTTTTAATAAGCATTAAAACTTTTATAGCTCTTGTCAAATTTTTTTAAAATAATTTTGTTAATAAATAAATGGATAGTTAGTGTGAAAAGAGAACTTTTTTTACAGTGCAATAAATGATACTTGTTATGTATATATTCTGGAAACATTAACGTTACAGACATGCTTGTAACAAATATAAATCCAAGTTTTGAAATTAATAAGTAATATTTTTAATGAATAAGCAGATAGCTCATGCAAAAAACTAAAAGCTCTTACGAGAAACTGTTTAAAGTAACAGCTTGCATGGCTTTTCTCTGCTCTTGTGCTCATTTACTCTCGACAAGGCTTGAGGTCAGGGATCAAAGTTTGTTGTTTTGATGGTGAGCCTATAAGACCGGAACATGTTGAACAATATGCCAAGTATCCAGAAAAAAAATGTTTCATGGTTGTTTCTCTGCTGCTAAACCAGGAGCACTCTACCCAGTTACTGGCGTGATAAACTCTGACACTTAATCTGGAATTAAAACACATTTAGTTCCATGTTAAAAGTGTTTTCAACTGGAAGCAGAATATTGCAGTAGGATTTTGCCACATGCCATATATCCATTAAAGTCAAGAAATTCATAGTAGAAAAGAATATTAAAACACTTAAACAGCCTGGCAATTCCCCAAATCTTAATCCAATTGAGATTTTCTGGGTAAAAAAAAGACTGCAAAAACACGACTACACAACTAAAACTAAGCTTACTACCACTATGCTTCAGGTTTGAAGGAAATCTAAAACATTTGTAAAAATTTAGTAGATTTTGTGCCAAATCGTGTGCAGAAAGTCATAGTAGCACTAGGTGGACACACAAAATATTAGTGTATATTTTTTATTATATTCAAGAAATTATTTTTTAAAAAAGGTCTCAAACAACATAAAATTTATAAATTTATAAATTGGTATATAATTTATAAATTTATAAATTTGCAGGCAGTAGCATTATGACTTTCTGAAGCCTAGAATTTCCTTTAACCTTAAGGAACTTTATAGAATTTTCTAAACTGTTCTGCATGTTTTTAGAAATCTCTGAAACTTTCAAGAATTTTCTGGTGTCTTTGTTTATGGAAATGAGATTTTGTTGATTTAGTTATTGCAAATTAAGTTAGATTAGAAGTTTATGGAAATTAGATTTTGTTGATTTAATTATTGGAAATTAGATTTTGACTATATAAACTGTTTGATTGAGTATCCAAATACAACGCTCTCAGTTAACTTTTTTGGATGGGATAAGGATTTATATCCTCTTTACATTAGCGATCAATTGACCTCTTACTCAATCAAGAAGAGAAATCTCACCATGTCTGGATTAAAAATCTGGCAGGAATAGTTTATTAAAATAGTAAGTATAAAGCTGCAAAACACTCTTGTCACCAATTACAATTTTTATTTTGAGAAGACAAGATTAGAATTTATACAACTAACATTGCTTATTGCTGGTTACTTTCTTTGGTTACCCTTAGTTACAGAGCAGTGCAGGCCTAACTAAATTTGGTCTTTTTATCAAATTTGGCCAGTTAAATAGTCAAATTTGCAGAGGTTAGTCTAGAATATATGGTTTATCATTTATCCTGGTCTAATCATTTATCATTAAATAGTTAGTTTAGGATCAAGCTTGCATGGTAATAAAAAAATGTTAAACTCAGTGAAAAAGTTATGGAATCAGGAACAATTGAGAAACTCCCAGAACAAATCAGTGTGCAGAACAAGCAATCAAGTGTCTTCAAGATCTTTTTGATATCTGTAAAAAGAAAGAAAACCTCCAGCTTAGATTTATTTTGTTTCAAAATGCACTATAATTAGGCTGAATACTACACTACATTTTTTGGTATATACAGAAACTTTTTGTACTTGTTGAATTGTTATTTAAGTATGTGATTTTATATTTATTTGTAATTTAGAGTGTTATGATGATAATGATCATAAAATTGTTATGTACTTTTGTGCATATATTCATTAATTTATGACCCAGGAATATGGGGTCACAAAAATGTTATAACCTTGATATATATATATATATATATATATATATATATATATATATATATATATATATATATATCAGCCCTCGGCAATGCTGACCTAAAAGTGTTTAGGGTCAGCAAAAAATTACTGACCTTCTTTCCATATTTTATGGTAACCTTTGTATCTAATTTTTTTTGCCGACCTGATGCCAACTTCTAAAGATCATTTTTTCTGATTCTGTGCGCTGATATGCATATATACATATATATATATATATATATATATATATATATATATATATATATATATATATATATATATATATATATATATATATATATATATATATATATATATAAGCATACTTAGTTTAACACTATGTTGTTCAGAAATAGGGATCTGCTGGGGGCTTCATTACATACATCAGCTAATATAAGGAAAACATGCACAGAAGTTGCTGTTATATTGACTGAGGGTTTGGGTTGGGGCAGTGAGTTTTCATTCTTGGTGTTGGTTGATTGTAGTTTTTTGTCATTATTCTTCATTTTTGTCAGGGTTAGGGTTTTTAGTTAATTAAATCATTGCAGTTGAATAAAGAAAAATTATTTAGGAATATTAAAAAGTTCTTTAAAAGGCACTTTGCTAACTTGCCACCATTGCAAGTAGCCTTAATCTCCTCTACACATTTATTTAGCACAGAAATCGCAAAATATTTGAGCTAAATATAAAGAAATTCAAAATGTGTTTTTTTTTAAGTTTGCTGAAGTTGGTTGAACTATTTAAAGAATTTTACGCTAAAAACTTTTCTGGTTCAACTCTTTTCACCCTAAAAAAAAGGTTAAATTTTTCTTTTACACTGAGAGCTCTTCTAATTTAATTTTTTTCTCACTCTGTGATCTCTTCTAGTTGAATTCTTTTCTCACCTTGTTCTCAGTTTTCTAGTTGAAATTTTTTAAATTTTCATAAGTATTATTTTATATAGTTTTTAACATTTTGCATATTGTGTTATTTGTGTTGTTTTTTTCGAAACCACAACCTATTATAATGTTTTTGTTTCCTCCTCATATTTTTTCTTTTTTATACTTTATTAGTAATAGATTTGAGTTCATTTTTATTTCTAGTCAACCCTATTCTAGGTTGGTAATTTTAGCTGGTATATATTTTATTATTGCTTATATTAAAACAATGCTTGCTATCATTATGTATCTATTTAGATGCTTTATAAATTTGTCTGTTCTTTTAATTTTTTTTAATAAATACTCTATTTATGTATTTTATACTTTAATAACTTTAATTATGATACTTTTGATTTAAATAAAGAGTTGGATTAAATAAGATTAAGTACGCTTTTTTTAAAACTATGTTACTATGTAATCATAAGTGTTTAAAATTTCAAAAAAAATTCAATTGATTAGAAAATAAAATTTTGTTTAAATAAACATTTTTTATAATGATAAATTAAAAAGTCCAAAAACATTTATTTATTATTTTTTATTTACATTTATATATATATATATATATGTATATATATATATATATATATATATATATATATATATATATATATATATATATATATATATTATTTACATTTATATATATATATATATATATATATATATATTTTATTTACATTTATATATATATATATATATATATATATATATATATATATATATATATATATATATATATATATATATATATATATATACACACATGCATCCATATAAATGAAATTCACACACACACATATATATATATATATATATATATATATATATATATATATATATATATATATATATATATATATATATATATATATATATATATATATATATATATATATATATATATATGTATATATATGTATGTATATGTATATATTTATATATACATATTTATGTGTACAAATAGTTATTAAACTTTGTTTTCTTATTGCAAATTTGTTAGTGGATTTAAGAATGAGAGGGAATTGTAGGATTTTAGTAAATTATTTTAGAGGGAAAGTTATCATAATTTAGCAAAATTGAGAGTTACAGCAACTTTTATATGTTAAGCAATATAGCTTATATATTATATCAAGGAAAATCATTGATTTTTTAATTTTTAATTTTACAATTTTTAAATATCAAAGCTTCAAAGATTTTTTTTAACATTAGTTATATGATTTTTAAAATACCAATGTTATAAAAGATATACATTTTTTTTATTCATAGCTATGTTTTAAAAGTATAGAGTTTGATATATTTTGATAAAATTTTGAATAAATTATTTATTGATGTTGTCTGTATCTTATTAACCATAACAGTGGGATATGCACACATTGAATTAAACCTATCCTATTTGTTTGAATACAGATAGAGTTTATTAATTAAAAAGCATACAACATATGCAGACAGTTTTAATGAACAAAATCATATTCTACACTTGTTTTGAAATTATTTAAAAAATATATTTTTTTGAAGTTGAAAATTTTTTAACATTTGATTAAATTTTGTTTAAGAAATCCTCCACCAACTGTCCGCAATCCAACTCTTTGGAGTAATATATTCATCAATTTTATTGCACGGTAAGTATTTATAATAACCTTATATATTTAATTTTTATAATCTTTAAAAAAAAATTTCATAAAGGGTTATATTAGACAGTTATATTATTTAGAGCTGTTACAAAAGATTTTGAAATTCGACCAGATGCTGCATTGCTATTAAGTGACGAATTTTTTTTAAAATGTGTCGATCAGTTATATTTATCAAAGGTGGTAACTTTATTTATATTTATATATATATAAAAGTTATTTAATGCAATATTATAATTGTATAAATACAAAAAAGTATTGAATACAAAATAATTATTGTGTATAATTAGCTTATAATTTAGTGTCGCATGGAGTTAATGTCTCTTATCCATATAATAACAAAACAATTCAAAGTTACGGGTATTCCACTTAATGCAAGAACTTTGCAAGCAAGGTAAAATTTAAATTGTCAAATATATTTATTGTTTAAAAAAATTTTGTTATGTTGTTAGACTGTTATATTTCAACATGTGTTTTGTTGCATGCATAAGGTTCCATATTGAGAATTTTAAAAATAATGCAAAGTATAAGTTTTTCCATTACATAAGTGAAGATTTATTTTTTATAAGTAAAATACTTTTGATACACTTGAAAAGTTCTGTGTCATGTGATGCACCTTTCTCATGTGAAATATGTATGTCATATGTTATGTGATATGTAGTGCATTTAATATTAGTAATACAGCAATTGAGATCTTAATAAAACCAGATTCAGTAGTTCAACCAGACTTGGTAGTTCTATCAGACTCGGTAATACAAAGATCTAAGTATCAAGGACATCAAAACACAATATTTTGGTATTCTAATATTTAGTTTGAATTCTGTGTTGCAAATAATTTGTACAATACTTTCTGCATTGCATTTTCAAATTTATTTGGTTTATCATATTTTTCTCTTCAAAGTATATTTTTCTCTATAAAGTATTTTTTTCTCTTCAAAGTATGTTTTTCTCTTCAAGGTATTATTTTTTCTCTTCAAAGCGATTAAGTAGAAAATTAAGTTTCAATAAAGAATAGTTAAAAATTTCTAAGAAAGTAATATTGAATGAACTATTAGCATAAATGTTTTAATGGTTTGATTTTATAACTATGTTTTAAACATAAAACTACTTTTATGTATGCTATAATTATGCAGTATTTGTATGATTACACAGCATTGTTATAATTATGCAGCATTGTTATAATTATGCAGCATTAGTATAATTATGCAGCATTAGTATAATTATGTATTATATTTAAGTTCAAAAGCAAAATTCTTTCTTTTATGTTTCTGATATTTCTTATTGAACAAATGAAAAGAATAAAAATATAAGAATTTCTTTGTTTTTGTTCCTTTATGTTATTCCTTTTTGTTGTTGTTGCTAATTTTGTTTCTTTTTTAAAAAATAAAATTACTTGATCTGTGTAGTTTTTGAATTAAAAAAAATTTATTTAAAAAAATGTTTAAAATCAGAAAAAAAAGTTTTTATGACATGAAATTAGTTATTCCACTAAATTTATTTTGGTCAAAACAAAATCAAAAAGTATAATAATGTAAATAATGAAAAATTAATAAAACATTTTGAAATACAGCTGGTAACCATAGTTACAGCTAGTAGCTTTTACTACAGCTGGTAGAATAAAATATTATTTTATTGTAATATTTTCAACATTTCTTTTAACATGAATATAATATCCATAAAATGTATCATAATATCCATAAAAAACTTCAATGTAAAAATATAAAAATATCGCATGAAAAAAGTATTTAAAAAATAATTTCAATTATGTTGTTTAAATGATAATTACTTTTATTATTAAGCTGTTGTTTTTTTTTGTTGTTGTTGTTGTTTTTATACCAGTTTCTAAGGAAAAGTTGAATTTTTTTTTTTTTTTTTTTTTTTTTTTTTTTTTTTTTTTTTCTAGAAAAAAATTTTAAATACATCTAATATGCTGTTAACAGCCTTTTTTTTTTCCTTTAAATTCTTCTTATTTGATGTAAAACAATTATTAATATCAAAGAGTATTATTTGGTCCAACATCTGGCTGATATTTGTGTAGTTATCAAGTTAGAAGAGCTGCCATCCTTATTAACAGTGAATTACCTTTTGGTTGTGTTATATTTATAATATTATCAAACCTTTTATTACAAGATTACAATTAAATGTAAAACAATTTTAATCAAGAGTTATAGTTTCTTTTTTTATTTATTTGTGTGTGTTTTAATATAAGAAATATATAAAAGAAAATATAAATAAAAAAATATATATGAAAATTAAATATATATATCATTTTAAAAATATAAATACATAGTTTTAATTTTTTTATAGAATGGAAAATGCTAGAAAGAATCGACAATATTTAGAAGTAGATGACCTGGCATCTCTTCCCAAATTAACAAATGTAATTTATATTTATATATAAATATTTGTTTGTTTTTTTAAAAAAAACTATCATTACTTTTATTTTATTTTCTTGATTCAACTTATTTTTAAACATATTTTATCCTATTTTATAATGCCTCGTTTTTTGAGATGTTGAATTCTTTTAATACAAGAAATTTTTATACTTTAGGAAATTATTTTATCATATATACAAGAAAGGTTTGCTGCAGACCATATTTATACATACATTGGAGATATTTTAATTGCTGTAAATCCTTTGAAAGATATTCCAATATATGGTCCTGGAGCATCACTCTTATACCAAAATGGTCAAAAAGACAGTTTACCTCCACATATATTTATGGTTGCTTGTTCAGCGTACCAGTCTTTAATACATAAGCATATAGATCAAGTAATTTCCAATTATTTTTGCATGTTTATTAGTTTAACAGAACAAGTGAACCTGTAATAGAAAAAGTTATTGTATAACAAAAACACTCTACCCTAAATATTCTGCTTGCTGTGGTTTTCATCAATGTTTATCATCAAACAACTATGTTTTAATATTTTTTTAAAAGTATTTTGCATTACAAATTGTAATTATTTGATTATATTTGAAAAAAATTTAGTGTTGCGTTATAAGTGGAGAGAGTGGAAGCGGTAAAACAGTTTCTGCCAACTTTCTTATTCAACAACTTGCTTGGATTGGAAAAGTTGGAGGTGCTAAAGACAAGATTAACCATAGTCTTGTTAAAAAGATTTTGCAGGTAGAATTTATATTGTGCCATTTTATGAAATGCTACTTAATAAAAAGGTTTTTAAATTTGTTTTTTTTGTTTTTTTTTTGATTCTTAGATTAATCCACTTATGGAAGCATTTGCAAATGCCCAAACTGTAATTAATCATAACTCTTCAAGATTTGGGAAATTTCTGGAATTGCATTTTACCCACAGTGGTGCTTTGGTTGGAGCTCAACTGTCAGAATATTTGCTTGAGAAGTCAAGAGTTGTATCACAACCACGCGGTGAACGCAACTTTCATATGTTGTATTATGTAATTGCAGGATTAGATTATCATAACAAACTTGATAAGTTTGAACTAAATACATTAAACAAACACAGGTTTAATTTTGTTATGATTATTATTTTTAAATATAGTTTTAATTTTTAAATAATTTTTTATCTTGCATTTTAATTTGTTTTTTATTTTTTAATTTGTTTTTTTTACGATTCTAACAAAGAAGTTTAATTAGTTTAAGCAAAAAAAAGAGAATTTAGGAAAAGGTGGGGGCAGGGGGGTTAAAGAATGAATAATAGGTAGTTATATGTGTCAAAATTTATCTAGCAATAATTGAAAACAAAAGCTAATTAACTAGTTAAAGAAAACTTGTAGCACATGTTTTCTATATCCTCGTCATTGTTTTAGCATTGTTTTGTCCTTGGGATGAATAATCTTATTTCTCCCTTAAGCAACATAAAGTTCACATTAAGAGCACCTTATATACACCTACTTGTATTTAACTCTCTTGTGTATAAATAATAGAATTTCCTTAAACTCCTAAACCACAAACCTATTTTAAAAATTAATAAAAATGTTTTTTTAAATTTTAAACCATGCATTCATAAAAAAGATGAAAAATGAGTTTTTTTTTTGGTCTCTTTTTTTGTTTGGTTTCTTTTTATGTTTGGTCTGTTAAGTAATTTCAGTAAAAACAGTCATAACCATGTGGCTAGTAAATGGATATTACAAGTAAAAATAAAAAACTTTGAACAGCTTGATTCATTTTTTATTTAAACATCATTTTCTATTTAATTTTACAAAATTGCAATGTAAATGGTAAAAAATGGTTTCTGAATTTAGATATCTAAACACAGATGAGTTATCACTATCAGAATATTCATGCACATCTGAAATGCAAGATAAGTTCATACAACTTCAGCAATCCCTTGAAGTGCTTGGATTTACAGCTGAGGTAAATATATTTATTTTTACTCTCACTGTATGTATATATATATATATATATATATATATATATATATATATATATATATATATATATATATATATATATATATGTATATATATATATATATATATATATATATATATATATATATATATACATATATATATATACATACAGTGAACATATTTAATAAGTGAACATATCAGTTTTTTAACTAAATTCTCTGGAAAAAAATAATGGGACACATAACCTAAATAATTTATCAAGAAGACATGTATAATTAATATTCTGTGTAACCTCTTTCAGCTTTTATAATCGTATTTTAATGTTTTGGCATAGATTCCACTAATTTTTTTGCAATATCAGAACTTATTTCATCCCAAGCCTTTGTAACAGCAGTTTCTAATTCTTCCTTTTGCTTTAAGTGACGAATACCTATTTGTTTATCTAAAATTGACCATAACTTTTCGATAGGATTTATATCTGGACTTTGTGCTGGCCATTGAAGAACATTTATGGATTTAATTTGTAAAATTTCTGTTGTTTTTTTTACTTATGTTTTAAATCATTGTCATTTTAAAAATAAAACTTCTACCTAATCTCAAATTCCACTCTGATGAAGTCAAATTATTATTCAAAGTATCAATGTGCATATCCGAATTCATTGTAGCTTTAATAAGTTTAAGATTTCCAGCATCACTACATGACATAAAGCCCCATACCATTATATAACCACTTCCATGTTTTATGGTTCCTTGCATACAACTTAAATGGTACGCTTCACTAGTTTTTCTCCAAACATTTTTTACAATTTACCATCAGAATGTGCCAAATTAAATTTGGATTCATCCAACCACAGTATCTTCTTTCAAAATGAAATTGGCTTATTAACATGAGTTTTAGCAAATATTAATTGTTTTTTCTCATGTTGTTGTGTCAAAAATGGTTTTGGTTTGTAGTTTTTAAACCCATTTTCACATAAACAATTTCAGATTTTTTTATCAGCTATTTTGGTTCCAGTATTATCTTCAATAGATTCTGCAACTTTTCTGGATGACTCAAATCTATTTTTTTGAATAATCTTACAATCAAGTGATCTTCTTTGAAGGTAGTCACGTTTACGCCTTTCAAAATCTTTACAGTTTGGTGACTTTCAAACTTGTTTACAATGTCTGAAATGGTGGAATAAGATTCCAGACTCTTTTTTAATAGTTTTTTTTTTTTTAAAACTAAATCCAAAATTAAATTTTGTTGATTCTCATTCAAACATTGTTTTGCTAGAGCCATGATTGCCAAAATATAGAATTTGCTCCTAAATATTTCATAAAATATTTTTTTCAAGAAAAAAAAGTTTTCAAAAAATTATTACTTTCTTACAAAACACTAATTTGTCCCATTAGATTTTTCTGCAAATAAAACTAAAACTAAAATGAAATAAATAAAAATGAATAATAAAAACAATATAAAACATTTTAAAATCTAAACAAACACTTCTGCTAAAAAAAAAGGGTATTATGTTTGTTTTTGGTGGTTATTTAAAAACATAATTTTATATGCATTTAATGGCTTTAAGACAACATGAACTAAATAGGGAGAATGTGAACACTAAATAGGGAGAACAACTGACTAAAAAGGGAGAACGTGCAAGTGTTCTCTTTATTTAGGCAAGTGAGTGTCAACTAAGGGTTTGGGTTAGGGTAAAATGATTTTTTTCATTTATTTTTCTTAATTTTTAAAAAATTGAAGCGTACAAAATAATTAGGGAACTGTGTCCTTAGATACATATTATCTGTTGTATATGTATGTATAGTTATATATATATATATATATATATATATATATATATATATATATATATATATATATATATATATATATATATATATATATATATATATATATATATATATATATATATATATATATATATATATATATATATATATATATATGATAATTTTTTTTTATATATATGTTTAGGAAATTCAAAGTTTATACTGCATCATTGCTGGAATTATTCATATAGGGGATTTAGAGTTTATGGTTGATGACTTATTTTCTTATGAAGGGGAGAAAGCCAAAATTGTGAATTTTAAAACATTAGAAACAGGTAACATAACAATGAGCTAATACAGTATACACATAAAATAAATAGTTAAATGTAATATAGTTGTTATAAATCAGTACTTGTGATATAAATAATTAAGTGAAATAATAAATAATAGTTAAAGTAATATGAAGAAAATAAAACTTGAGAACAAAAATAAAATTTTCCTCTAAAAATAAGATAAATTAGTACAATGCATCAATTATGTTTTTTGATTAAATAGAGGAAATCATAAAAATCCTATTTTTATGATTTTCCCTTATTTAATACTATTCATGATTTCTCCTATGTTCTTGGTCAACTTAATAACTACTTGTATTTATTTTATTATTATGATATGACCTCTTGTTGCATCATTTTCAGCATATTTGAAAGACACCAATTAATTACTTTCTATTCTTGAGCAATATAAGTTCACCTTACATAAGTTCATGTTTGTGACTGCAGATGTTATTGTACTTTATATTGATATTACAACTAACGAAGGCATTGAAGCAGTTTAATTATTATCCTATTTTTATGATTTCCCCTATTTAATCCTATTCAAGGTTTAGCTGAAAAACAGTTAAAGCATGCTATGTGGTAACCAGATATTTTTGATTGTATTGGCATTTTTTAGATTTAAACTCGCATGTAACTAACGCTAAATTACCTGCAAATGGTAATAGTTTAAAATAACTTAGGCGCGCACAGATTTTCAATCAATTAAAAAAAGTTTGCTAATTTCCAAGTTATTTAATGTTGAATCTTTTTTTTTGTGTGTGTGTTTTGAATTTCATAAAATATTTAAAAAATTTAAACTGAATACTTAATACTTAAAGGAATTGTTTAATGAAATGCTACTGATAGATGAAAGTGTTGCTTGTCTCATTTTATTTACCTTCATTAAGATAGATTGACGCTTGATAATTTTATTACAATTTAATATTAGTAAAAAAATGTGCCAAGTTGACAGTTTTAAATTTATTTAAAAATAAATTCATTGCAATGACTATAGAAAAAACTAAGTTGAAAGAGAAAATGTTCTCAGTTACATTCAAAAATTTTAAATAATAATTTTGTATCTCTGATTTTAATGAGCAGAGATATAAAATAATTTTTTTAAATCTGCTCAATAAAACAAGTTATCTATAAAGGCAGGTATTTTAATATAATCCAATAGCTAAAAGTTGTCAAACTGAGAGCAATAGTGTTGGAAAAGAATAGTGCAGACGTAAACAAACTGACCTAGCTACATGTATTATTATATATTAAATTATGCCCAACCTTGCAATTCACAATAACCACACGTGGTTGTGCACAGTTACAATTACACATTTTTCACATATTGTAAACAGGATTTATAGATAAAAAATGTATTGCTTTAATAATGAGCCAAATAATTTAAATAATATGTTTTTATTAGTTGCATCATTGCTTTGTGTTGAAAAGAATGATTTAAGTGAAGCTATGGTTACTTACAGCAGTGTTACAAGAGGTAATTATCTCTCTCTATATCTTTCTCTCCATATATATATATATATATATATATATATATATATATATATATATATATATATATATATATATATATATATATATATATATATATATATATATATATATATATATATATATTGGAATACCATCAATGTTAAATTTCTTATAATTTATAAAACTAATAATTTTTGAAATGTGATTGTTGAGAATACTATAGATTTAGAACATACAGATGTGTTATTATTTTACACTTTTTACACTGGAATGGTTTACAAACCTCTTAGTATTTTAGTAGGGATCATTATACTGAACATACTGATGTATTAGATAACATAATGATGTGTTGGATAAAAGTAAGGATTTCAAAGTAAAATGAAATTATATAAAGACTAAATATACATGAAGAACACTTTAGCACTTCAAAATAAACTTCTAACCCAAGTATAATTGTTTTAAGAAAATCAAGTATCTTCGCAATAACTGCTGATTTTCTGAGAATGAGTGAATGAATGGTAATATGTCTACTTATGAAGAGATAAAAACTGATTTTTCTTTTTCATCATCTACTGCCAGTAGAAGATAAAAAAATAAAAATAGAAAATCTGTTTGCAAAATCATTAGTAAACTTTCTTTATATTTTATTATTTTAAAATAATGCTCATACATTATTTAATGGTTGGTACTTCTGTAGCAACCATTTAATTCATTATTTTCTGTCCATGAATTTCATTAATAATCTTTATATCCTTTATCATATAAAATGTCCAAGTACTGTTTTTATATTTGAGGTTAGGTCTAATGCATGTTTTTTACAACAAAGATGCTCAACGGCTAGATATATGTTTTTTTTTAATGATAAACCTATTTTTCTGAATTAACTACTATGGTTAGTTTTACAAAAATAATTACCATTGCTTGAAACATAAATACAGAGGTCTTTTATTACATTTGACTTTTCCAATTTGTGATTTAAATTGTTGTGTCTTAAAGTGAATAGTTTGTTTTTCTCATAACATTTTTCTAGGTTAAGCTTTAACAACAAAATTTTTGTTTATTCCACTTAAAAGCTCCCATGTTGTACACCCCATTATCCCAGTCAGATATATATATATACTGTGTTTTTGTCAGCTACGGTTTGTTACACATTTTTATTTTGATGCTATCAATTTGTAACACATCCTTTTTTTGATGCTATCAATTTGTATCACTTTTTCTTTATAAAAATTGTGTTGAGGCGATAAGTTTAGTTAAGTTAGATTATTAGATAAGTTTAAATTATTATTAATCATGTTATTTAGCTTTCCATTACATAAAAAGATTACATAAAACCTGCTCTAAAATTATTTGGTTTGCTGGTTTTTCTGAGTACAGAGTGACATTTTTTTAATTTCATACAACACATAAAGTTTTTCTGATATTGATTTGTTGAATATATGAAAAGTTCAGCTTCAAATAAAAAGTCTATGGAAGATTTTTCTAAAATGCCCAAACTCACATTGATTTATATAACACAAAGCACAAAAATTTAGTTTGGCCTAATAAAAAAACTCAACCAAAAAAATAAAGTGTAAAAAATAAAACTGATTGATAGCAAATAACATAAGATACTTGGTAATGTATTTCAAACTGTACATGCCCAAAATAAGATGACTTTATGACATCAACAAAAAATGGTGACTCTATGACATCAACAAAATATGGTGACTCTATGACATCAGAAAAATAAGGTGACTCTATGACATCAACAAAATATGGTGACACTATGTCATCAACAAAATAATATGTCTCTATGACATCAAAATATGAAGCAGCTCTGGAAAACAAATACCAAATATTAAACACCATTAAACACTAACACGATCGAAACTACCAAATAATGAACAAAATAATTAATACTTGATCCAAAAAATAAAATTTGCATTTTTTTTTTTTGACCTTGATTTTAATCTTTCAAAAGCATATTTCATAAATTTCTTTATTTTTATGTATTTGCTGTACTTAGTTATAAAGCTAAAGTTAATTATGTTGAAATTTTTAGGTGCTTTTTTTATTTATTACTGTGAACCATTTGCTATTTAAATAAGCCAATAGTTATATAATAACCTGGAGGTCAAATTTTTTTGATCAAATACAAATATGTTAATTCTAGATTCTTAAACACAATTCAAATACAAATATATCTAATTTTATATTATATAATAATTTCATTTTCCTAATGCAAATATAAATATTTGTATTTTAGTTTATAAAAAAATACAACTTATAGATATTAATTAATTAGATAATTATTAAATAATTATCTAATTAATTAATAAATTAGATAATTATTTTAAAATAAAAACTTATTTTTATTTTAAAATAATTATCTAATTTAATTAACATTATTAATTTATTTATACTGAGTGACAGAAAAAATTCTATTTCATTATTAAATTTTTTTATCTTTTAAAAGAATATAAAAAGTTGTTTTTCATTTTCAATTAAATTAATTAATGTCAACTATTTTATATGAAAGGTAACTATTTTATATAAAAGGCAATTATTTTATATAAAAGGCAGCAATTTTATATAAAAGGCATATTTTGAGAGGTTGAATATGCAATATTAAATGTTATGATAGATTTATTTATTAAATCTTTGATTAGCTAATTTTTGTTCATTCTATAAGGTAATAAATTTGTTTTTAATTTTAAAAAAAGTTTTGAAGACATAGTTCATATCTCAAAATATTTTTATTTAAAAAAATAAAAAAAAAATTCTTGGTTACTAATTTTATTTTATTTTATAAGAAAATTGTTTTATTATAAAAAAATTTTTGATTGTTTTATTTAATTTTTAACTAAATATAAAGTAGTTGAAGAACAATTACTAAAGCTATTTGATAAACAATTAAGAAATTTTTAAGACAATATCGATAAAATGAAATACCTAATAGATGAAAATAAATCTTTAAGTATCAGTTAAAACAAGTAAAACAAACAACTTTTAACAAGTATAACTTTTAACAACACTTTTAACAACACTTTTAACAAGTATCACGTGAAACATTGAAATAAGTATCACTTAAAACATTAAAATAAGTATCACTTAAGACATTAAAATAAGTATCACTTAAGGCATAAACATAAATTTTGATATTACTTAAGTATTATTGTTGAATATTTGTTACAACAATAAAAAAAAACCTCTTAGTTTTTCCGATAAAAAGTTAACCTAGTTTATAGAACTATAAATACAAATTTCAATCAAGTACAAATATGTTTAAAGTTTTTAAATCAAATACCAATACAAATATAAATATGCATTTGACCCCAAGCCTGCAGATAACTAGTTATTTACCTTAACTGACACCTGTTTTTTTGTCTGCCGCTATATTTGAAAAACTATGATGCTATGTTTAGCATTTAATTTTTATTTATCTATAGGTGAAACAATAATAAGAAATAATACAGTTGAACAAGCGTTTGATTGTCGTGATGCAATGGCAAAGGTAATAAAAAATACATATTTTGGAAAATAATTTTGTGTGCATGTGAGAGACAAATTTAGAAGTATAATAAGAAAACTTTGAAAATAATAAGTGGTTTTAAGCTACTTATTTAGAAAACAACCTTAAACATATAAGCAATAAATTTTTACAGGATTACAGATTAAACTCTAAACTTTTTACAGGGTTGCAGATTTAACTATGAGTAGAAATACTCTTAGTATTCATGTTAATCTTTCATCAATAATAAATAAAGTTATTTAACCTTTTAGTACTTTTGCATTTAATAAGTCATTTGTATTACTATTCAATAGTAATTATTTTATTATTAGTTTGAAATGAGATTTAAAATTGTTGTTACATAGAGCAATATTGAGGTGGTTGACATTTTTTATATCATACTTTATAGAAATATAATTGCATTAAAATATTTCAACAACTTTTTTTTCAAACAAAAGTCCATTATTCAATAAATAACTAACAAATAAGATTGGAATCAATTAACTGTCACTTCTGCTAATCCTGGTACCTCCCCTAATGGAAAATCCTACATTTCGTCAATGCAAAAACAGTACTAAGCTTCCAAAGGAAGTAAGGAGGTTGTAAACAATTTATTTGAGTCCCATAGCTTAATAATCGAGCAAATCAAACCTACAACTTAGACATGTAAACTATGTAAATTGTGTTTTAAACATATATATATATATATATATATATATATATATATATATATATATATATATATATATATATATATATATATATATATATATATATATATATATATATATATATATTCTAATAATTTTTTATTTATGAAACATAGGCATTATATGGACGCTTAGTTAGTTGGATTGTGAAGAAAGTTAATGCCCTGCTGAGAGCAGAAGACAGGACAAAGTATATACTTTTTATTATTATTATTATTTTTTTTTTTTGAAATCATGATATAAAAACTTATTACAAAGCCATAATATTTTTATTATTATTAAAAAATTATAATTATAAACTTTAATAGTTTATTTCATCTGAAAAATTCAGATGAAATAAACGATTAAAATCAGATAAAACTAGAAAATAAAGCATACACTGCATTGTAATGCTAAAAATGAAACAATTGTAAGTCACAACAGTCTAATGGAATTTAGCATTGATCAAATATTTTAAATCAAAGAAATCGCAACTACTATATTTTATTTAAAACTTATTCAATATCTTCTTATAAATCATCAATCTTCTTATAAAATCATCAATTAAATGTTCTCTAGCGCTGATATTTAATAAATTTGATAAATGAGGTGTTAAAAGCATAAAAACTTTGAACACTTATAATTATTTTAAACCAAAATTAGAAAATACTCTAATAGCATATTTTAAAATATAACTTTTATCGTTATTTTTATTACCAATTATTTAAAGTCTAATTTAAAACATTTAAATTTTCTAATAAATAATTATAAAGTTTTAAATATTATTATTATTATTTAAATATTATAAAAGTTTAAAATATTATAAAGTTTCCCCTTAACAAAATTCAGTTCATAATATTTATTTACAATGGGCAAATAGCTAGCTTAAGTATATTTTTTATAAGTTGATTTTTAAATTACCAAACATATTTTTATATTATTTCATTTTCCCAGCCTTTAGTAATTATTATTCTAGCTTCTTTTTTTTCATTTAATTATTTTTTTTTTTCAATAAACTCACTTTTTCACAATCACTTAATTTTCACGTACTTTATCCATGGTTTAAATAATTAGTGAACTTGACTCAATCATAGCTAATGTAGTGAACATCCTAAACAATAAGCTATGTAGAGTAAAAACCCTTTTAAGTATTCAGAGAGTAAAAAGCCTTTTAAATGGACTCTTTATGTTAAGGAGTATTACAAGCATCACAAGTGAATAATATATTTCATTGCACTTATATGCAGGGCCAGATTTACATGTAGGCCAATTAGGCTGCAGCTTAGGGCCCCACAATTTAGGGTGCCCCAAAATTTATTCAAAAAATGTTTGCCAGAGTTTTTAGGCAGTTATTAAAAACTTTCATGATTGTAATCTCAAAAGTAGCATGGTTGCTACTCAACATTTTCCTCTGGACAACATGATGTAAAGTTTTATTAGCACAATCATTAACAATTGAAACGCTAAAATGATTGGAGATTATTTCTGCATGAAGGAATTCTAGAACAAATCTATATAAAAGTCGTAGCACTAAACTAAAGTATTAAAGATACAAAAGCAAACAACAAACAGTGTAATGCTATATATACTATAAAATGGTTTTTTATTTAAAATGTTTTTGAGGCCCCCTAAAATTAGTTTAGCCTAGGGCCCCCAAGAGTGTAAATCCGGCCCTGCTTATATGCTTGTTTAGAGGTAGCTATAGTATAGAATCTAGAATGCAATTCAGGCTATTGTAAATAGCCTATGAAGCTCATTCACAGCGCTACTGTGTTAGTGAATGTTGATAAATGAAAAAATGTTATAAAATAGTTTACAATAGTTAAGATATAATAAAATTACATGAAGATGTAGTTTTACATGAAGATATAATAAAGCCCTGGAAGGAAATAGAAAACTAAATGAATTGTTACACAGAAGAGTCATGGAAAAGCATTTTTCTTTATTCAAGCACTATTTTTTTACATGTTTACTGAACTTGAATTTAACTAGAGATTTTTATTTTTATAATTCATTTCAGTTTGTTATAGTTCAATATTGTTATACTTTTTATTAAAATACTAAACAGAATAATGCAAGAATGAAAGTAATGCTTGTGATGAGCATGCTTTTAGTTCAGCAACTGGTACATGAATTAATAATGCTTAAACCGCATTTTAAAGTGAACATTTATTCGATTTCATAATAAACATTTTTCTATAGAACTTTAAGCTGACTTTATTTTTGCCAATTGTTTCATTCTGTTATTTGTTTTATTCTGCCATTTGTTTCATTCTGTGAAATCTTTTTTTTTAGTACTGTTAATACTAAAATTGGTATACTTGACATTTTCGGTTTTGAAAACTTTGCACAAAATTCATTTGAACAGTTATGCATCAATATTGCCAATGAACAGCTGCAATTTTATTTTAATGAGCATATATTTGTTTGGGAACAAGAAGAGTACAAATCAGAAGGTTTAAAAAGTTTTGACATTGAATTCATCAATAACAAACCAATATTAGATTTATTTTTGCAGGTTATTGATTTTTGATTTTTATTTTGTGCCTTTCAATTTAGTTTTAAAATATTTGTTTTTTTTTATAATTTTATACTTTTTTTGTAGGTCATTTTATAAAATTTTTTTATAGAAACCTGTAGGTGTCTTAGCCTTACTAGACGAAGAAAGTCGTTTTCCAAAAGCATCTGACCTTACATTAGTAGGTAAGCTGTGTTTGTTTTCCGAAAGCATATGACCTTACATTAGTGGGTAAGCTGTGTTTTAAGTAGTAACATCAGTGTTATTGCTTATAGATTAGTCTTAAAATCAACCATAATTACATATAAGTATATGTTTCAAATTAAAATATTTTTTTCTTTGTTTAAAGAAGCTTTGTATAATTTTTTTGCTTAGAAAAATTTCAAGACAACATTTCATCTGAGTATATGATTTTATCAAAAGAAACAAATACTTTTTTCACAATCAAACATTTTGCTGATAAGGTTTTTATTACTTTAGTTACATTTTATTTTTTTGTTTCATTGTTGTGCCATGATTTTTAGTATATAATCAATATATTAATATCAGAAAGTATTTAACTTTAGTATAAAACTTATCATAAAACTGATATGTGCTTTTCAGAGTTTTATTTTAAAATCCAATACAACACATTTTTTGAAATTTCACTAGTGAACCCACAAATTGTTTTTCATTTTTAAATCTTACTATGAAGTGTTAACTTAATGCTTAGAACTTGTCATGAAACTTACAGCACATCAATAAATTTAATTCCCATATTTCTCTAAACAACAACCAGAATACATGATTACACCAAACCCCCAGAACACATAATTTAAACTCTAATTAGTTTTTGTAGTTTTTTACTAATTGTTATAAATTTAAAAAATATTTGAAAAAAAAATCTTATCTAATAATTAAATTTTTTAATAAAAAATTATTTATTTTTTTAAAAACTTTATTTTAAAAATTGTTTATTGCATTTTTTTTAATCCCAATTTGCTTTCAATTTAAAATTTGTTAGGTAACGTATGATGCAACTGGGTTTCTAGAAAAGAATAGAGATACACTTTCTATGGATGTCGTACAAACTCTTCGGCTAAGTAGTAAGTTCTTTATTTGATAAATATGAACTCCTTTATTGAGGGTTTAATCATTTTTAGTTAAAGTACATTGAATATAAATAGGAAAAAATATATGTACATATCAGCATATTTATTTATAAACGAATAAACTTTAATATTTGCATTTATCATATAACTGCTGGTTTAGGTTTGCATATTGCATCAGTAAGAACATGTTAATAATGGCTGAAATATTGATAGACAAACAAATATGTATATATTGACCTAAGAATCAGGGGTAGGAAATATATGTATGAAGTCTATGAGTGGAAAATATTCACTTAAGAATCTGGGGTAGGAAATATGTATGAATGTCTATGAGTGAAATATATTGATTTAGGAATCAGAAGGTTGGAAATATATGTAGGAAAGTCTATGATTGAAATATATTATGGCCAATGGATTCTTTAACTTTTTTAATTGCTTTGGTTCTGTTTATTTTTAACTTTAATATGCACCTTATATTCAGTAAAAAAGTTGTTTTTGTAGTTCCCAATTGCATTTTGGTAATATTATATTTTTTTGTTGATGTTGTCTCTTCTCATAAGATTGTGGTAATGTTCTCTCTTGAATTCATTTTTTATATTGTTTTATTCTTGTTGTTTTAGCTTTGTATTTTTGTGTAATTCATAATCTATACAATATACATTTAGGTATCAAAAAAATATTTTATTAAAGTTTTATTTTCCTGTGAGGGCAATAAAGATCTCTGTTTTTTTTTTTTAAAAATCTTTTTAGTCCTCTTTGCAAAAGTTTTTTTGAAAGATGAAATTTGCATCAATGTTAGTGATATTTAATCTCTGATGTTCTTAAACTCTGTTTGAATATTATTGAAATTCATTTATGACAGGTCACAGTTGATTGGATAGTTTGACAGGATAAAGTTAATTAGACAGTTTGACAGGACACAGTTAATTAAAATTTCTGTAGTAATGTTGAAAATTCAAGTTTCGAAATTTCATTAATAATTTGGATATTTATTTTTAAATATAAAATATTTTCTTTGTGTCTTTTTGTAGAAGAATTAAGAGATGTAGGCTGATAACATTGTAATATTCCACAGTTTCGCTTTGTTTAGTTGAAATATATTTACTTTGTATTGTGGCTTAACATAACTTAGTGTCTCCATTGTTGAAACTACAATTTGCATAAGTCCTTAGTATTTTATTTCTTTTCATTTTCAATTTTCTTACAGTTTTGTTTATCAATTAACTGTGTTTAATTTTAAAAAAGCTCATACCTTAATAAAAAAATATAAATGTCTGACCTGAGCTCCTATAATTGAAAAGGCTTGTTAATTATTACATGCTAGAAGTTTTTTTAGTTCTTATTTCTATTACTGCACATATTACAATTGTTTGATATATTTAAAATGATCTTTATAAGTTTCAAATATCACATATGACTTATGAGTAACAACAAGTCACTTTGAATGCAGACCTCAATCTGAAGTATTATATACATACTTAAACACAAATGCAGACCTCAATCTGAAACAATATGTACATATATCCAATATCTACACAATCACTACATATAATAAAATAGCATTAATTTGATATTAAACATTAATATAAATAAATATGATAAAATTTATTAATTTCTAATTAAATGTTTATAATTTTTTTTAGGTGATAAAACACTTGCAGCACTTTTTTTAGGTTGTATAAAGATATTTTTTATTTGTTTTTTTTTTTATGTGTGTGTGTTTAAAGTAAAAAAAAAATGTTTTAGTTAAATAAATTGGCACATTTGGCAGAAAGGAAATAGTTGCTCACAACATTTAAATAAAAATAATAATTTTTAAAAATAATATTTAAATAAAAATTTAAATACAACAATTTCCATACAAATGATCAAGCACAAGTGAAACTTGTATGGAGAACTTTTGTTATTAAATCAAACAACATATTTTAAGTTTTAAAATTTTTAAAACAACTCAATTTAAGTATTAAAATATAATATTCAATGACTTATCTCAATTAGATATGTACAAAGTACCCATTTTGTTTTAAAAATAGATCAAAAACGACTTTGAGTCCACCTGACAGTTAATGTGACAGTTTTTTTTTTTTTAAAGTTTTTTACAGGTGCCTTGCTTCAACTCTAAAAGAAGGGTTAGAGGATAAAGAACTTTTTTTTTATTATTTAAGAATGTTTACATTTCTTTATTGTTAGGTTTTTGTTTAACTATGTAAAAACATAAATTTTGTAAGAACTATATTTACCTTTCTGTATGAAAATAAAATACTTTATAGTTTTAACTTTATTTTTTATAAGTAGAAGATGGTTTTAATATCTAGTAATTAACCAGCCTTCTAATCATGGTCATTGTTCCATATTTTATATATATATATATATATATATATATATATATATATATATATATATATATATATATATATATATATATATATATATATATATATATATATATATATATAAAATATGGAACAATGACCATGATTAGAAGGCTGGTTAATTACTAGATAATATATATATATATATATATATATATATATATATATATATATATATATATATATATATATATATATATATATATATATATATATATATATATATATATATATATATATATATATATATATATGTATATGTAGCCCAAACTTTAAAAGGCTTTAAAAGTTTGTGCTATTTAAGTTTGTCCATATTATAGTATATGGTGGTTTACCACCTTTCATCATATACAACATATGCCACACAATTTAATAGGGGGCGGGGAAAAGGGAATATTGTAAATTAAATTTATATTTTTTATTTTATGAAATATTCAGTTGTTTAGTAATTAATAATTAACCTTATGTGATAAATTTATTTTAGGATCAGATTTGAAACAAGATACAAAAATGTCTGTGAGTTTTTTTTTCTTTATTACTTTATGAATTTGAAATCAAATATTTTCTTAATGAGAAATGTTCATTGTTGTAATTATAATAATCATTGCCATCATCAACAACTTCTTTCGACTTTCCTTATCAAATTCAGTTATTTTGTCAATATGTGATATAAATGAAATACATGCACTCAAACTTTATTACATAATTTATTTTAATTTTTATATCTATATTTTGTATTAAATATTATATATAAATTCTTTTTTATTATATCTTTGGTTTATTTTGTATTAAATATTATTTATAAATTCTTCTTTAGAGGTTTTCAGTTATTTTTACTCAAGTTTTTTCTCAACAAAATTTTTTTTCTATTTAGTAGATTACTTTACATTAGGTTATTTTCAACTGTTTTTTTTTTATAGAAAAAAGAATTTAAAAAACCGTCTTTTTTATTTTTTTGATCTTTATGAAGATGTAAAATGTTTTAAAATGAGAGAGTTTTAAACATTATAGGACTCTATTTTTTGATGGCTAAATTATATATTTTCATGAAATTTAAAATCTGATTATTAGCACTTTTATAGTTGACATTTTGTCAAAATTTTGTCAAGGGGACAAAATTTTGTCCCCTTGACAAAATTTTGTTTGGAATGCATAAAAATTATCTGCCACTTCTAACACACTTCTAACACACTTCTAACACACTTCTAACACACTTCTAACACACTTCTACCACACTTCCAACACACTTCTAACACACTAAACATGCATCAATCTCAAATAAAAATTAGTCATAAATTATTTTTTTTTTTAATTCAAATATGTTCTTAAAAATCTCCCTAAGCTGTATCAGTATTTTATAATTATATATTTTGATAAACAATCGTGATATAAAACAGTTTATTGTTGGTTGTCTATTAAGTCATACTGAATAAAACAAGATTACTGTTTGAAAAATCATTTTCTCAAAATAAAAAAAAGTATTTTCACATTTTCACAAAAATTTTTATTTTCACAAAATCATTTTATATAAAATATTTTAGTAGTAGGAAAAGGAGAGTTCAGAGCCATTTTTATTTTCAACCAAATTTTCAACCATAAATTAATATTAATATTGGGTTAACATTGAACCATATTGTGTATAAATTATTTCAACAAGAAATAATTTTTTATTTTAAAAAATTGATTTTTTAAAATAAGTGTTAATTTTTATTTCTTGTTATGAAATGTTATGAAAAATTCTTGCATGACGTCATAGGTCACGTGACTTTTTCTTGCTTCTTATTTTTCTTTATATCCAATAGAATGTAAATATTTTAATACTTCAAGATGACCATTTTCTGCAGCATTAATAATTGCTTGATCTGTTCCTTTATACCCTAATTCATGTAAATATTTTAACATTTCAAGGCGACCATTTCTAGCAGTATTATTAAATACCCAATTTAAACATCTATATCCTTTTGAATGTAAATATTTTACTACTTCAAGGTGACCATTAATTGCAGCATAATTAATCGCACATTTATCACATTTATACCCTAATTCATGTAAATATTTTACTACTTCAAGGTGACCATTTCCTGCAGCATAATCAATTGCTTGATCTGTTCCTTTATACCCTAGTTCATGTAAATATTTTACTACTTCAAGGTGACCCCTAATTGCAGCATTATCAATTGCATCTTCTGTTCCTTTATACCCTAATTCATGTAAATATTTTAACATTTCAAGGTGACCATTTCTAGCAGTATTATTAAATACCAAATTTAAACATCTTTCCTTTTGAATTCCTTTTGAATGTAAATATTTTTGTACATCTTCTGTACTTTTTTTACCTAATTGAATTAATAATATAAATAAATCAAGTCTTTCTATACTTGCAGCAAAATCAACCTTATTACCTTTTTTATACCCATACTTTTTTAATATTTCATTAATATAATATATTTGAGTTGAAGGTTTTATTAAAAATTTATTATTCTCAAAATTATTTTCTAATTCCATTCTTTTTTATATACACAAGAAAATTATTTAAATCATTTTCAAAATTTTTTTATTTTTTTAATACGCATGCGCTAGATTTGCTTACGCGTAGTAGCGCTTATGCGTAGTAGAATTGTCTTAACTTTATCACTACTAGAATTTATAGTCACTACGTGTATCAAAATTATTAAATATATCCATTTTTAACAGCTGAATTAAAAAACGATTCTGTACCTTTATACCCTAATTCATGTAAATATTTAATAATTTCAAGGTTACTATCTGATGGTGATCTTATCTGATTATCTACTGCACAATTAAATAAATATTCATTTCCTTTATACCCTAATTCATGTAAATATTTAATTACTTCAATATTTCCACTTTCAACAGCATTATAAATTACCCATTCATTTCCTTTATACCCTAATTCATGTATATATTTTAATATTTCAAGGTGACCATTTCTAGCAACACAATTAATTGTACAATTGTCACATTCATACCCTAATTCATGTAAATATTTAAAAATTTCAATATTTCTATGTTTAACAGCATAATTAGTTACCCATTTATCACCTTTATACCCTAATTCATGTAAATATTTAATTACTTCAAGATTTCCACTTTCAACAGCTAAATTAAATGCCAAATATTCATTTTCATACCCTTATTCATGCAAGTATTTTACTACTTCAAGGTGTCCACTTTTAACAGCTAAATCAAATGTCGAATATTTATCACCTTTATACCCTAATTCATGTAAATATTTTAACATTTCAAAGTTTTCATTTTCTACAGTAGAATTAATTGTGTGTTTGTCACATTTATACCCTAATTCATGCAAGTATTTTACTACTTCAAGGTGGCCATTTCTAGCAGCTTTATCTATTGCCCATTCTGTTCCTTTATACCCTAATTCATGCAAATATTTTACTTGTTCAAGGTTACCATTTTCTGCAGCTTTATCAATTGCATCATTTATTCCTTTATACCCTAATATTTTTTTAATATCATCATCTTCTTCATCATCTTCATTATCTTCATCTTCTTCATCATCTTCATTAACTTCATCTTCTTCATCATCACTATATTCAGTAGTTTCTGTAATTTCAGTAACTTCAGTAGTAACTGTAGTAACTGTAGTAACTTCAGAATCTTCAATCATTTCAATATCATGAATATTAATAATATTTAATTTTTCTTCTATTAATCTTAATCTTTCATCTATTGATTTTAAAAATGAATTTTGCATTTCGTTTTCCATTCTTTTTATTATGTAAAGAAAATTATTTAACTCATTTTTAATTTTTTGATTTAAAATATTTTTACAATTAATAAAAAATAAAAAATGAATGATGAAATTAATGAAATATCTGAATTTCAAAAAGAATTTAAACTTTTTGAAGAATTATTAAAATTTGAATTTGAAGAATCAGATTCTGAAGATGACACTTATTATACATCTGATGAAGCTACTTATTTTACATCTGATGATGAAGATGAAGTTAAAGAAAAACCTATAGTTCCAATTCCTTTAAAAACAGTTCAAATCATGGAACTGCATAAAGATAAGCTGAAATGGATTAATTATGTTCCAACTTATAATGTTATTAATGATGATTATCCTGCTATAGATAATACTTCTTTTAAAAAACATTACAAAAAAAGAAAATTTAGTTTTGAAAAACCATTTAATGTAGATATTAATTTTACTGAAGATGGAAAACCTTCAACAATTCATTTTGTAGAGAAACTACCCATTTTCTGTAAAAATATTTTAAATGATAATTATTGTCCTTTTGGAAGAAAATGTAAATACAATCATGATATTCCTTATTGTAATACTGTAAAGGAAAGACTAATATGCACTAAATCTTCATGTCAATATAGACATTTATCTCTATGTTCTGAATACCCTAAATGTAAGAATAAAAAGTGTAGATTGTTTCATCCAAAAAAGTCAGAATTATTTAAATTAAGAAAAGCAAAGACTAAATTATGTAAATATATTCTTGATAAAAAAGAATGTAAAAATATAAATTGCAAATATGCTCATTCTTTTAAAGAAATTGAAGAAAATGTAGAAATTTGTCATTATACTCCATGTAAATTAGTAGAGAGTAAATTAAAGAAAAATAAAAAAGGAGAAAAAATATTAATATATAAAAATGTTAATAATAAAAAGTGTAATTTTTTACATCAAGGTGAAAGCATTTTAAATTATATTGCTAGAACTTTAAAAACAAAATAGATATGAGGATTACAGAGTGATTTAAAAAAATCTTTACATTTATAAAATGTATAATAGTAGAATGTTTTTATATTATGAAAAGCATGAACAATATAGAATAACTTTTAATATTAATTCAGATTTAGAACATAGAGCAATAAATGATAGACATATTAAAGTATTCGCACAAGAAGATTTTACTGTAAAATCAAATTCATATAATAACATTTCTTTAATGTGTGGTGTTGAAATAGATAAAGGACATATAGTGATTTCAATTGCAGAAAATTATAAACCAGAACTAAATTTACTAAATTCTATTGTAACAGAGTCTACTGACGATATTAAAATAACTGTATATAATAACGATATAAAAGATATAAACATTAAAAAAGGAGATTTGTTATGTTGTATATCAACTTATAATGGTGTTTTAAATGCAAATTATATATCACATAGAGATGCTTTAGAACATGTTAAAGAAGAACAAATTAGACAACAAAATGACTCAGGAACTAAACAGAAAAGTGATAAAGAATCTGTAAAATCTTTATTATCAAGTATAGAAGAAGTAATTAAAGATAAACCTAGTATAGATAAATCTGATGAAGATATATTTAATTTTGGTAAAAAGTGATTTAGCGAAGCATTGATAACAAAAGTGATTTAAAACAAATTTTTCTTTATAGAAAAAAGAAATGCTATGTAATAATGGATATAATAATGAATGTAAGCAGCTTTATCCAGATCTTAACCAGTTTTCAGAAAATCCATCTGCACCACCACAATCTATAGATCA